GTAAAAAATCTAATAAATCAATCAAATTACTAATATTATTAAAAGTTTGTTATGTCGGGAGTTTTCTCAATGGAGTCAGGGTGTGTATTATACTTGCCGTCAAAAGTATAGTCCAATCCCCAATCCCAAATAGATGAAAACTATTTGAGACTTTTGAGGTGTAAAAGTCCCAAATCCCAAACCCTGAAATTAGTACCAATTTATACAAAACACATTCCAAAATCATATATACATAATGTGTTACCCAATTCACGAAATTCAAGGGTTTGGGATTTGAGATTTTTGGTTTGAAATGTGTTTGGGCGGCAAGTATAGTGTGCATTGTCTGCATGCTCATTCGACCACATATACTAATCGTATTTCCTCATTGATTGGTGTTTTCCTCGCCATTCATTTCATGCAATAATAGACAGCAGTATGCTTTGTTGAGGGAAGAACAAAAAAAACATTCTCTGATAACCCATCCCCTAGCAACGAAGGATTTTTTAATTTACATTTGAAATCACAATTATTCTCTTATGAATGATCACACTGTTATCAATTAATCCTAGGACATTTTCTAACATTATGATTAAATACTCCACAGTTACCACAAATATATCTTCTTTAAATTGTTTGGTTTTCGATATTTTACACTAGACTTATGCCTTTTTGAAGATGGTCTGCCTTTAGGAATATGTTCAAGCGGTTCCTTTATCTGACCAGTTAAATACACTTTACCCAGTACTTTCAAAAGTAGCCTCTGTTTCTAATCTTCATATTGTTTCCATCATCTAAAGGTTTTCCAGGATATTCACAATCCAAGCACCTATAAATAATCTCACTTTTATCCATCCTTTTTTTTTAAATCGTGAATCCATTAAACCGACTAGATTCAGAACAATAATGAATTACAATCTCAAAATTTGGAAAACATGTTCCTTCTGATAGTTGTAGACATTTAATCAAACCTGGAAAGGAATCCAACCCTTAATCATATGTGCACCTTCCGAGCGAATAGTTGCTAAAAACATAAAAATGGCAAAAAACTCACGCTTTAAAGGCTGCACACAGATTCTATTGATATTAATATACAGTAGAAAATATTATTTTCGTATATTAATATATTGAAGCATCTGATTTCCTAACAAATTGCGTCAAAATCATATAGCCTCCCTAATTCAATTTTACTAAAAATTTTATATTTTTGATTTTTTTTTTTAGATTCATCTTTTCTAAATTGAGATGAACGGAAAGTGATTTTTCTCCTAAATAAGTACACAAGAGTTTATAAATTTATTTCAAATCATAACCTTTACCGAATTAGAGCTATTTTCTTTATATCCGAAGTTATTCCTTTTATGATAGGCCACAATATGATGTTCAATGTTACCCTCTGGCTAAGGGTGCAGATATATTGCCGAACTAACTATAATTACAACACGGCTATGTCGTGACTCTTAGAAACTGACTGTTTATTATTTTTTTTAATGTGAGACCGACTCGAATCAGGTAAATTATCAATTAATACCTTCATTAAACGTATCATATTCCCATATTCTAAATCTTATACATACACTTGTACCCGGTTTACATCCCTGCCCACAAACCGTTTATATCCTACATTGAACTGGGACAAATTTCCTCAGTTATTATATATAAAATAATGTAGACGGGGTACAAATTGGTTAATATTAATAAATTGTATATCACAACTGCTGGGCGGTTTTCATATAAATTTTTAATATGATTATTGACAGATGATTAAAATTCTCCAAATGCTTGAAAATTCATAAAAAATGGCATGCGGAAGAATAAAAAAATATAAATCCATCAATGATTTTGTTATCAATTGAAAAATTCAAACTCTAAAAGACATTAAAAAAAAGCAAATTGATTGATTAAGAATAATAAAGCGTCTTCATTTTTTATTTTTTATCAAAAAAAGTGAACATATTAAAAAAAAAATTGTACAAAAATTATTTTTTTTCAAATTACATATTTTACAAATTATAAAATTTCCCAAAATATCATTTTCATTCCAAGCATACTTCAGCCAAAGTTTTTGAAGGGAAACTCAATATAGGGAAATTATTACTACCCACAAAGAAACCTAGATTACCCCTGAAACCAGTTGAAATATGAGGAGTCGTTTTAGATTTGCAACCAGAAGCTGAACCAATGTCAAGGTTGGCACTCAATGTGGTGACAACATTGATGCCAGTTTTCAAACTGAACAATCCATTAAGAACATCGATATTGAGAGCTAATTGTGGTTTCAAAGAGCCGCTAATTTCGGATGAGCTAGTAAGCCCCCCGAATTTTGAGTCGTGTGATTTTGGTTGAACGTCGAATCCGGATTCGGAAGATTTGGGGTTTTTGAAATCATCGAAATTTAATTCTGCCTTGAAATCAGGCACGGATAACTCACCGCCCGTGGTTAAAGTGCCTTTGACGGCTGTAGAAACTTGAGCACTTGCAGCCAAAAGTATGGAAGGACCGATATTAAATATGTTTGGTATACCCAATGGATTCAATGGGATGTTAAAAATTTGAAGGTCTGGTGAGTTGAGACTGACACTAACTTGTCCGTTGAGACCCAAGTCAACATTTAATTTTATATTACCATTAATTCCAACCCTTGCTTCATCAATCTTAAGTCCTTTTCCAGAAATATGCATAAAGAGAGTTGCCTCACCCTCCACATAACAATCGGCACAAACCAATGATTCAGCAGTATTGTTTTGGCTGGATGATAATATTGGAAAATTTGGTTTGGAAGATTTTCCGGTTTTTTCATCAAATAAAACATTCAAATCCAATTTTAAACTTTTATCAGCGGCAATACGTTTATTTATTAATCTATCTGATCTTTTTTTGTTAAAAGGTATTCTTTTCCCATATAGATTTCTTCTTTGTGGAGTTGTTCCACCTTTGATCCATTGTAAATCAAATGAAAATTCGCTAGACCAGGCCTTTGGGTCACATGGTTGAGTAGTAAATTTTGCGCTTAAATTTGGTTCGTCGATAGTTTGATTTCCGACAAAATAATATTGGGTGGTATGTTTTCCGAAACATTCATGTTTATGAGATATCATTAAGATGACATTGTCGGGCCAATTGTCAATAGTTTTCAATGAAGCTTTATCGGCAAGAGTCAATGTGATGGTTTTGGCACTGGTGTCACATTTAATATTTTTCACGGAGTCGGTTTGATCAGGATTTATTGATGGTACGGTTGTCTTAAAGTAAACTTTTGCTTGATGATATCCACCACCATTGGAATTATCTTGATTATAAATGCCAATTAAGTCATTTCCAATTGAAAACGGCAAACTTTTACCTGAAGGACTAAAATCTGCATTTACCGCAGGAATTGATGTGATGATTTGTATTGTAATGAACAAGAATATAAATGATTTTATTATTAAATTATTTGCCATTTTTTTTTTAAATAAAATGAGCAATGAAAAGAGGGGTATACACAATTTATACAATTTTTATACAATTTTTTTTTTAATTTATCGATAAAAAATAAAAGAGTAATAAACGTCCAGACGTTTATTATAATTGTTTAGGGAACTAAGGAATTGGAAAAAGAAAGGAATGGTTTAATTTTTATCTGGAAAAGGAAAGGGAAAAAATTAAATTGATTTTAAAAAAAAAAAAAAATAAAAAAATAAAAACATTTGTTTTATAATAATTTTTTACATTGTGTTACTTCTACTTAAAGTCCAAAAATGGCAAGAATGCTAAAATCACATAATCGGCCGTGTATCTATTTACTACAATAATAGTAAAGATGTGCATGTATAAAAATTGTCGAGAAATCCGAGTTTATGAATAAGGAAATTCTAAATTTATGTTACAAAGGATAGTTATTTGGGAAGTTTTAGCAAAGCATAAATCAAATCAAACTTTTCCTTAAATTAATTTCCCAAAAATTAATAATAATGAACACAAACACAAAATTGAAACGTGTGTGTTCATCCATAACTTTGTTTTGACGACAAAGAAAAACTTAATGGTGATCAAATCTAGTAGTACAAAGGCAATTACAGCTAGACCTTTCTTTTTTTCTTCCTTAACTTTATCGACGTCTTATTCCTAAAAACAAACAAATCCTTTACAACAAGTAAAACCCACAAAATGGGGCGCTATAAACCAACAAATAAAAGAATCGCGCTATAAAACACTACACCGATTAAATGGAGAAAATCCGATCACAATGACGATGATCATCACAATTTAGAAACTTTTTCATGAAGAAATAATGGTCATTCTGTAAATGTTGACGACGCTGACAACATCAGTAGCAACAACCTGCTGATGAAGATAATCGTGAAAGTTTCTTGTCATCATAATCTCCTTCTTCTGCCAGAAATCCTAAACGTAGACAATTTCAAAAATCGTTGGAACATTTTCAATTTGCATCAAGGTCTGTTTCACTTCTGAGAGAATCTTTGTCATGTAGAGAGATCCAGTTATGCCATCAAGAAAACCAACAACAACACCTACCAAAAATTACAAAGATCAATGAGTTGTTTTTAGTTTGGGTCTTCTCCTTAGATTATTGGTAGTACTAGTGGTAGTACCAGCAGTGTGATAGTAAACAAATTCCACAGTGTACTCAAGACAACGAAAACCTTATAAACGATTACCAATTGATAAAAGCAAATTCGTGCGTCCTCTCTTACTATCTTCTGCATCTACTAGAACTACATCTAATCCAACATCTCAACGTCGTCATCATCGTCATCGGCAACAAATTGGACAACAATAATAATTATAATGAACCAATGGAAAGAGGATCACGTATCTTTAACAAACAACATAATTGGACATCGAAATATAGCAACAAGACCTTCGTCGTTTCCATTCAATGCCAATAATATTATTAATAAACAACAACAACAAATAATAACAATTGCTAGTCTAAATCCGGTTATCAATTAATTTTACAATAATAAAAATTAATACACTACTAATCAATATTAGTATTAGAATAATTTGGGAAAATAATGATTCACAAAGTAATGAAACGTTTATCACAAGACACTATCATTTACACCAAAAGGTAAAAAATTAAATTAATAAATAATTATTGATTTATTTATTTTTTTTCTATCTTTCATCATCTACCTTCAAAAAAAAATAAAGGGTGAAGAAACTTCAACAAATCCAATTGCTTCAATTTTTACAAGAGGGTCAGTCAGCCCACAGAGCTGGGCTAGATGGAAATGATAAATTATTAAAATTTTCCACAGATCTTGAACAAAGTTGTATTGACTCTGTTGATATTCATGGTAAATGACTGAATATTAAGTTTTATCAATTCATGGAAAAAAGTAAATTAATTTGAGATTTTTTTTGTATTTTTCAATAACTAATTTATTATATATTATAATTATTTTAGTCTAAAAAGAGAGCATCATGTCAACACTGATGAATTTTAGTGACACTTTGAAAAAACATTGTTAACTTGATGTAATCAATAAAATTTATTTATTATTTATCATTTACTCCTTGTAAAATGAAGAAACTTTTATTTTGCGTTTACCATCAAATAAATTTGTAGAGTTTCTTGCATATACCCAGATCTTGTCATGTTCTGGTACAGCTTGTTCAACAAATGTAGTATGTTTAGTATTAAGATGATGCTCTATATCTTTTGGTGAATAAAGATATTCTTCCTCTTGGCAATTTAGCGATGCCATGCATCTAAAAATTGGTGCTTTGATACCCATTGTAATTGCAGATTTAAATGTAATAACATTTCCTTCAGGAAAATAAAGATAAGGATCAAGCTCTTTTGTTTCTTTTACTAATGCTGGCACTACTTCTTCATCAAGGGTATCTCTCAGAGTAAATAGTGTAAGTATCACCTTGATATATTGGTGGATCTTTGTAGATACCACAATGTTGGAGAATTGTGTAAAGATCAACTTGAGAGTATTTAAGAGGATTGCCTATCTCTTCAAGGAAAGTTTCAGAAATTTGTTTCTTGGGCCCAATACGAGGCCATTTATTTAACATGTGTTTCAAGATAAGCTCTTGTCAATATGGTTTTTCTGCTTCATAGATTATTTGATGTTTTAATTCTCTCCAGTACTTTTGGTAGGTGATTCATTGACCTCAGCAAGATGGAGGATTGTTTTTTTGTATGAAGTGAAATTATTTTGAATATCATAAGATTTGTAATTTGATATTAATTTTCCTTCCTTAAGAATTTTATTAACAAGTTCATTCAACATTTTGATAAAGCTTTTTGCTTTTTTTGAGTATTTGTCCATGGACCTGTATTGTCAGTGGCATGCCTACTCACCAACAACCATACCCCATTTATTTAAATAACAAATTTGGTTGGTCAAATAAAAATTAAAGAGAAGCAGAAAATTTGGGAAAATGATTATACAAACAAACACTATTTTACGACTTTCCTCTTAACAACAGAGCCCAAATGCAGTTTCAGGGCCACTAACCCTGCTCTGAATTGTGACCTCCTGGTGCTTGAAACGAGCTGCAGGTTCTCTTAATATTCATCAGCAGAGTTGCAACATCTTGGTCACAGAGCCATCCTTGCCCTAGAGGTAGGATCGTTGCAGGTGACTTTTCATCCAACATGGCAGCGGCCATCTCTGGTCTGGGAAGATTAGTGAAAGTGTCATT